GACCTGTTTTATTCTGCTAATCACTAAGTTTAATCTTGATATTAGAGGACTGATTTACATCTTCCTAGAACTAGTGAGTTATAGTGTCCTAATTTGAAAGGGAAGTCTCGTATAGCCCGCAGCTATTGTAGAAATTATTTTTGTTTCATCTTCTATTTTCTGTCCTTTATTTGTCTACTTTTACTAATACCTGTAACTGAAGCCTATTGTTGCATGTTAGAAATTTTCTACTTCAATAACTTTCTATTGACACCCATGTCATATGAAATTAGGTTCATTGTATAAGGGCTTCCTAATAACCCATGTATTTTCTTAAACAGATGTGTAGAGACAAATTTTAGACATCTCGATTGACTTGCATCATGCACAGTTTATGTTATTATCATCATAAAACTGGTATTTTTGTATTATACACAAATCTTATGGTACATGATAACTTTTAACTTTGAGGATTTTATAACATGTGAAAGGAAAATGAAACTTAATAACATGAAGATTAGAAAATACATTGGTGTTGTAGTTTTCGTAACTTACATTATTCTTTGTGCTTGTTGACAGAAAATGGATTTCTGTATCTCTTAACTTACCTTATAGGAATGCTTTTGCTGTGACACTGATCTTTAAGAGTGGTTGATTTTGAAAGCCAAACTTCCTTGTGCAGATCTTTTCATTGTGGGCTGTCAGTCCTAGAAAGTTTGGGGGATTGAACTATTCATCTGATAATGTTGGTGAAGTTCTTTCTATAACAGGTTTGTTGGTATATAGTTAAATAGTTATTCATATCAGTTATCATATTTAAAGAAAATTCCATTATTCTATGCTAGCTCCTAAAACTTGCACATTTATACCCCCTGGTTAAAGTGCATATAACTTCAGAATCCTATCTAATTCCCAGACCTTAAGGTATCAAGATATGCTGAAAACCATTGATAAGCAAAAGCACACTGTTGCTGTGTTGACATAGTTCATCGCACAAGCTGTCAATCCAAAGCAGGCTCTTCCGAAGAAGTGAAAATCCAAAAAGCAGTCGGCACAGGCTAAAAGAGTGTTGGCTGTATTATTGGGCCTTTCCAAAGGTATCCTTGTTGAGGGTGATAGGGGTTGATTCTTGTTATAACATTTGAAGTTACTGTAGTAATGTCATTGAACCTTGAGAGCTATCAATCTCCCAAATAAATTGGATGGTAATTCTTAAACTTACTTTGGTGCCATAGTTAGGAGTAAGATGGCTATATCTTATAAGGAGTTCCAACCATTCCTAAATTTTTTGATATTGAAGGTCAAAGAGAAGAAAGGAAAATATATCGAGAACAATCTTGACTTTGAGGTGATGGGCTGATCAATTGCTTGTCTGCACTGAATTTTTAATATGTGCATTTCCACCTAATCAAGACCAACGACACCTTTTACTGTCCTCTACTGTCCCTAATTAATTTCTATTATTAAACTTCTATTTACCATAGTTTGTTTTTTATTTCCATCAATTTACTTAGATTCCCCCTTTCACGGTCTCTCATAGACATGACATATTGACTCTTATCCTATTCACTATGTCTTCCAATTTCATAGTCTTTCCTGTCAAAGTTCCTATGTTCCATATTGGTAATTACATTTTTGTTTCTTTAACTAACTTCCTTACTTGCACTAATCCAAAGTAATGCAAGAACCTTACCGCTTTTACCTACAACTGGACATTATTTTAACAAATTGCTTCTAATGAATACCATATATGATCTCTAGGGGTGCCAACGGTATTCGAAAATCTGATTTCGAATTCGATATTCGATATAATCAAATTGAATTCGGATAATTCGAATATCTAATTGGTCGAATTCGGTTATTCTATTCATACCGAATAGCTAATCGAATTTGAATTCGGATATGACCTGATTCGATTCAATAAATATCTGAATTTGACCGATTATTTAATTCTTATATATAATATATAAAATACTTAAATGTTTTATATAATTTATATATATAATAATTAAATAATATAAATATTTTATATATTTATTAATTACTTAAAATAATCAATTAGTCGAATTCAAATCAAATCGAATATTTGAATATTTAATTGAATTCAAATTCAAATATTAATTTTCAAAATCCGTCAGATATCGAATCGAATTCGGATATCAAATTTTCTAATCGGATTTGAATTCGGATATTGCCAGATCCGATTCAAATTCGATCCGTTTACACCCCTAGATCTCTCTATAGTTTTACTTGGTGTCACCTTAAAATTAGTTGAGGGAATTATTTAGGATTCACCTTCATAAATGTTTAGAAAAATTTTTTATGCTAACTGTTATCCCAACACAGCCTTCCTCTATTTAGACTTAGGACCTATGGTACAAGACAAACTAAAGATGACTAAATTCGTATGAAATTCTATTACTAATTTAGGTTTTAATTTATATTTAATGTACTTATAGATCATGTTAAATGAATTTTAATTTTTCTTGTTTTTCCAACTTTTAATAAATCAAATATTGAAGGATTCTTGTTTCACTATCTAAACTACAAAATTAAGAATATTTTAGTAACAAACTAAGCAACCAATTATCCATTACATATCTTTGTTTGTATCATTTTCATTAAATTCTTATTTATATTTTTTTGTTGTTTTTAGATTGAAATTTAACAAATACTTTTGTTGACCAAACAATAATTTCTTTTGGTCCAGTGCATGGACGGCTGAAGGCATTCCATGTATAATCAGGTGGTGCCTAATATACTAAGATGGAAATTTGAAAAAATAAATGGTTTTCCCTAAGCTTTTATATTGCACATTAAGAATCCTAGGAAATAAATATCCAATTATTGACATGTAATAACTATTCATTCATCAAAAAAGAAAAAAATGACATGTAATAAAGCTAAGTGGGACATCAATCTACATACTAATCAAGTAAGTTATAGGAAAGTTTCACTTGTTCTGCCCTCCAAATTCGTTCTAACTGTGAATGAAAAAGTTGAAGTTGGGTCTCAATTCTTTCTCTAGAGTAAAAAAGGGGACTGATTTGGGTACATTTCATTTTTTTAATAAAGAGGGAACAACCTAACAATTGGTTACATGCTTTAAAAGGAAAAAACTCCTATTTTTAGACTTCTGTCATTACCAACAGTGTTTCTCTCATTCCACTATGGATGTGCCCACTTCATAAAAGATTTTCCATATTTAACTTGCCTTTGGGATTTTAATAAATGGTCCATTGTGAGTAGCATTGGATATTATTTGGCATCCTCATGTTTCTAAATGACATTGATAAACTGGGATATATTAGTGATGCTCGAGAGTTTTAATTCCTATGATAGCTTTTATCCCTTCAGTGTTGTGATCATATTAACAAGTTTTGTAATATGTTGTGTCATAATCATTTGAATCAATCTTATAGTATATATGGAGGAGAGTTGATCTCTTGATTTGTATAGAGGGACAGTTTTGCTATGGTGATTTTGCATATGTGGTCATGTGTTTGCATTGTGTTGCTCTATACCATTCTTTTGGACTTTTCCCGTCCTTATCTCCTTTTTTCTTTTTAGATTTTTAGATGATTGAGTGCCATTGCATCTTCATTTTCTTTTTCTTTTGCTAATAATAAATTCATCTTTGATATTCCTAGAGAGTTTGTTTTTGTATCTACCGCATATGTTATATCAACTGTTTTATGTATACATGCATTTAAAATTTTCTAATAGAGTACTGACCACCCACACACACATGGCTGTTAGGTGCTAGTCTGTTATTCTTTCAACTTACCCTGTATCCTTGTGTTGAGAAGATTCTTGGTCCTGTCAAGGTTTCTCGCATTGCAGCGGTATGCTTTCTATGTTATGTTTTGTAATTTTAAGAATTTTTAGATATGATATTTTCTGACGTCTTTTTTACCCATTTTGAAGGTTTTATCCATACCATTGCTGTCAAGTTACCCTTTTATAGCAAGGCTCTCTGGATTTAGACTCTCGTTACTGATAAATTGTGCATCTGTGTTGAAGAATGTTCTCTCTGTAAGTATAGAATCTGTTAGTATTTATTAGTATTTCTGTCTTGTACTTGCCACAGGGTATAAATGCCATTGCACCCTTTATTATGTGCCACCCCTATTTAAATAATAGAATAGGGCCCCACCAACTTACTTTTTGACTCCCTAAACACTTTCTCTTTTCTTCTATCGGCTTCTAACCGTATTTAGACTTGACATTCTAAATGCTACAATTATGCTTAGAGAGTTAAGTTGGTGGGAGTAAGGAAGAGGTTCAACTTGATGAGGTTCATTAGGTAAGCCTTGATTTTCCTCTTGATCAAGTTGTTCCCCACGAGGTTCAAATGTTAAAATTGCTTGGTTTGTTTTTCTTGGGTGGTGAAGCATATGTTAAAGAGATTTTTAGGCAACATGAAGGGGATGATTGGAGGAAAAAAGTAGCTAGCATTGTTTAGTAGATGATGTATGAGAATTCTTCACATGGATGACGTTTCAACTCACCAAAGAAAGGGCAGAAATTGGTGGGATTGTTCTATTTCGAGGGAGACCTCATGCAAAGATGATGTGGGCAAATAAGCAAGATATATGCAGCACTTGCAGTGAATACCATCTGAAAACAACAAAAAACAAACTGGATTTTTATCGATTTCAGAACTGAACTTGAAGTATAACTCCTCTTGGAACTGTTCTGCTACAGTAATAATGGTGTCAAGCTGGCCTCTTGTGTCGACTCGTAGCGACAGAGGGATTGGAAGGTGTGCCCAATTGGTTGACTTCTCAAAACCCAAGCTCCCAATACTTAAAAACCCAAGAACTAGGGTTGAGCTACAGCTCGAATAAGAGAGAAAGAACCAAAAAGGCCCCCACAAAAACAGCCCCTTCTCTTTTACAAGACTTAATGGCTTGCTAGAGAAGCCAACTAAAATATTTACTCATAAGCCCCTGGAATTTTCCTCCTTAAACAACCCTTTAAGAACAAAAATTTCAAACACCCCTAAAAGATAACTTTAGTTACAAAAACACCCAAGGGACCAAAACCAACAAGGGTGCACCCAAACTGCCCCTGACTAGAAACCAAATTATGAAATGGCGAAAATACCCCTACCTCAAATTATTTACAAACCTACCCAAGACGACTACCTGGAATCTACTACAAAAACAAATTTAGAAATCAGAACATATTTACATCATTTTTTCTTCTTTTTAATTTTTTTCTTTAGTTAAAAATAACTTGGCTCCATGCATCTCCATGCAAGCAGCAGTTTTAGCAGCCTTGTACATGTTTTCATCTAGCTTCATAAACACTTCTTCACTAATACAAGAGTTCTTAGTTGTTGTTTTCCTCTCCACTTGACCAAGAACCTAAAATAGGCTCCATTTCAAGTATTGGCGATTCAAACATCTTGGCCCTTTGTGCTTCTTGGTTAATCTTTGTTGCAGGTTCTAGATCTCCATGATAATCAAAGAGGTTTGCTACATTAAAAATGGTAAGGGAGTTGGGATAATAACAACATAATAAAGGCAAGGATGATGGGAATTAATAAATTATTTGCGGAGGGAGACTCAAAACTAGTAATCAACTGGTTACAAGAAGAGAAAATGAAAATGTAGCTCTTCAACGATGAAAAGAAAAGAATCAGGTGCTAACCGGAGACATGGAACTAAGATTTGGATGGGTTAAGAGAGATGCCAATTCTGTAGCTGATACCTTAACTAAACAGGGGGTGAGGAGAGATTCTCTATTTTGGTCACAATTGTAAGGGAGTTGGGATTGGTTGGGGAGAGAATAAGAGGTTTTATCTCTGTCTTTGTTTTGTACCTCTATGTACTTAACTTGTTACTTATTGTCCTAATTAATGAAATTTTGGAGTTATTGATCAAAAGAAGGGCAGGCAGTCTAAATTTCTTTATTTTGCTGGGATTGTATTTGTGGAGAGCATTGTGGGCTAGATGGGACACTTTCTAGTTATTTAGTATCTCATTATTTTATGAGAATTTTTTTGTTTGCATTCCTTTTCTTTTTTTGAGGTCTTAGTTTTCATCACGTTCTTTTTTATTTTAATTAATCTTTTCTCTTACAAGTGACCATATAAACTTTAATTAGGTTTCCATTATCACCGGATTATTCATCTTACAAAACAATGCTGTGGTAATTTCTTCCCTTATCTGTTTCAACATGTATTTCCTTTCCTTCTCTCTTTCTCTTCCTATTTTTGTTTCACAGTAAATTTGTAGCTATTGGATCCATTTTTGATATTTGAACAACAGGCTCAAAATCAAAGAGGTGCTGCAAATGGAATTTCCATGACTGCAATGTCTCTTTTTAAAGCATTTGGTCCAGCTGGAGGTGGTGCTTTGTAAGTTATCTTCTTAAGATTATCTCCTATTCATGTTTAATGCTCAATTGCTAGCCAGATTGCAGAGGCCAACACCAACTTTGCAATTTTCTAAAGAGTTATTTGTTTTTAGGTTACCATGCAATTGTATATTTGTATTATCTATTAAAGTAGGCAGTACATGATCACATACAACTTTGCTAAGAAGACTACTTGTTAATCATTGGGGATCCAAGGGTGGTTACTGAGATGAGTAATAGAGAAGATTCTCATTATCCATATATTTCAAAGCATGGTGGGAAATTGGGTTTTTATTTATGGTCCAGTGAGGATGAGATGAAATATGGAAGAAATTAGAGGCAGCATAAATAAAGTGGGATGCTTCTTGATCTTTAGGGAATATTTTAATGTTGTAACCATAGTTTTCAACAGTGTTTTAAAAGCACAAGACGCAAAAAAGGCACAAGGGTCAATTTGTGTCTGAGGCATGCGCCTTTTTAATGCAAGGCACAAAAATACAAAAACAAATTGCTAAAAAATAAAAAAAAATGTCAGAAAATTCAAAACAAATGCCAAAAAGTTCAAAAAAAATCAAAAATATTAAACATAATATTAATAAAAAATATAAACTTAAATTTTAAAATAAATGTTTTAAAAAACCTATTATCTAAAGTTAAAATACATAAACATAAGATGTAAAGCATATCAAAATGAGAATTTAAAAATAAAATCAAACATATAAAACATTTTCAAGCATGTAAAACCTCTAATCTCCTTTTTCACTCAATTGCATTACTTCAAGTAGCTAATGTAATGTAAAACATATTACATTCCTAATTCTACGAGCTGCCTTTGTGCCACGCCCCTCAAGGCAAGCCCAAACAAGTCCACGTTAGGTCTTAAATTCTTAGTTCTCACACAAAAAATGATGATTTTATAGTTTTAACTGCTTTTTAACAAGATATTTTATTAGAATGAATGAATGAACAACATTACCAAAAGCAGTTAAAACAATAAAATCATCATTTTTTGTGTGAGAACTAAGATTTTAAGACCTAATGTGGGCTTGTTTGGGCTTGCCTCGAGGGGCATGGCACGGGGCCCGGGGTGGAGCCCTTGGCCCAGCCACTATGTTCAAAAAAAGCAAAAAAATGTCAAATTTTCAAAAGGCACACGCTTGGGCTAAGGCACAAGGCGCGCCAGGCGTGCACCTTTTGAAAGGGCTGCACCTAGGACCTAGGGGAGGCGGATACCCAAAAATGCACCTTGCCTATGCACTTGTGCGCCTATGTGCGCCTTTTAAATCACTGGTTTTCAAGGTGCCAAGGTGAGGCTAAGCAACAAGGGGCATCTTGTCAAGGGGCCATGATTTCCGCATGAACTTCTATCAAAATTTAATTTAGTTCTGTTGTAGCTAGGAAGAGCCCACATCAGCTGCACAACTAATTTCGAAGTAGAAGAAGCTGCTATTACTCCCTAGCCTCTGATGAAGTCATCCACAGAGTACTCATTGAACCACTTCAAAGTCTTCACCCAAAGTGACCATAAAACGGTGTCTCTCCGCATCAACTTTCCTCTTTTCTTGGGCAAGGGAAGGAAACCTAAGGTGAATAAGTTAGCTACATCTAGAGGTGGCTCCCTACATCCAAAAAGAGAACAAAAGAACTCCCAAACACAACAAACAAAAGAGTAGGAGGTTAGTAAATGGGAAGTAGATTCACCATTAGCATACATAAAAGACAGATATGGGGGAAAGACAACAATTTGATCTCCTCTTTTGAAGCATATCACAAGTATTTATTTTATCCAACATTACTTCCCAACAAAAAGCTTGAATTTTAATCTACATAGGCTTACACCACACCTCTTTCACTAAAAAGGAAGCTACTGAGGCCAAAGACGAAGTAAGGATATCCAAAAGTGAAGCACAAGAGAACAACCCTAAAGGGGATGGGACCTAAACTCTACTATTTAAATAAGAGGGGTCTAGAAAAAGATTATTCAAGATCTCAAGCAGAATCACCAAGGAAGCAAGCTCATTATCCCTTGAACCCCATCTGAACCCATGATCCCAAACAAACCCTTCAGGAGAACGAACGAGGAACTTAGTAATGGGTTCCTATTTATAAGTTGAGAGAGCAAACAAAGAAGGAAATTTGTCCTTTAAAGGAGAATCTCAAACCCACAAATCTTCCCAAAATAAAACTTTAAGGCCATTCCCAACATCATATCTCAATAAATTTCTTAGGGAAGGGAGGATTTTAATGATAGATTTCTAAGGGGAAGCCAAGACCTTTGAGAAACAAAAGCATCTCACCCATTATCATCTAGCCCATGAACACTATTACCTTGCACAACAACATATCCTATTTTACTAGAAATCTCCACCAAGTAATGGGTGCCAATCCCTAGAGCCCCCTCTTACTCCTACTCACTAGATCCCATCTCACCAAGTTATCCTTCCTAGATTCTCTCAGCTCCCAAAGAAAATCCCTCATAATGTTCTCAATGCTCTTAGAAACTTTCACGGGGATTTTGAAGGTAAAAATGAAATAAACAAGTAAGTTGGTCAATGTGGCTTTAATTAAGGTGATCATCCCCCCCCCCACGAGAGATGTAGCTTCTCTTTCACATAACCAATTTTTTGGTAAACCTTTCTAGAACAGGCTTCCAAAAATCAACTGCCCTAGGGTTATAGGCTATGATTTAGGGCATGTTTGGAACCAATGCCATTTTCCCAGATAATGGTGCCACATTGACGCCACGTGGGAGATTCAATGCTGGGGAAAATGATGCTTGTTTGGTTGGATGTTTTTTCAAAAAACATTTTCTCAGACCATGCTTTGGAAAACAGGAAAGGTGTGGTCTGAGAAAACATCCTTTTTGAAGTTTTCTCATTTTTATACCATTGCTAGCAATGGTTTTCCGATTTTGCATTGAAAAAATGCCTAGGTGGCAGAAAAATTCCCAAACTAAAAAAAAAAAAACACCGTTTTCTAAGAAAATGGCATACCAATGCAGGGCACTGTTTTCTCAGAAAATGGCACTGGTGAAATGGCACCAGCTCCAAGTGTTGCCTTAAAAAGGTTTGCTATAGAGATGACCTCTCCTTCACCCCCCACAAAGCCTACCATCTGAAGTAAAAGTTGTGGGACCCCTACCCTGTCCTACATCAGTTTAACCTCGCTTGATAAAGCTCTTAATGTAGTCTGATTAGCTTAAGATTTGGAGGATTTTCTCTATACTTTTAAGCTTTGGTACATCCAAATTTCAGCTTAATCTAGAGGTTGGATCAAGAGAAATTGGGTATGCAACCACTACCAAAAAGTTGGATTGTTAATATGAACAGTCTTCTTCATCCTTATCTTAGTTTTCTTCTTCTGAGCTTTGATCAAGGATCAATGAAAACCATATTAGTCAGTTGATTGGTTTCTTTGTGCATCTGAGGTAATTAGTTATTCTTTTCTGGTGTGGGGTTGGATTTTTTCCCTTTTGTTCCCACTTCCTTTTGTGTGCCTCTTGTATACCCTTTTTCTTCATTAATTTATCTATTATTATCAATAGAAAAAATGTAGACATGCAAATGCACTAATATATGAACATTAAAATTAGGGTCCAGCTTTGGTAGTTTCTTTACAAAAAATTAAATGAACAACTAATGGTACTATTTTAATATAAGTTGATTAGGACAACTCTGAGATGATACTGCAAAGGTATACTTTCTGTCCGATTTAAGATTTTTAAGGAATTTTAAAAAGGAATGAATTATGTTGCTAATGTGAAACTCCAACATGCCATCACTTGTTTTGTAAAATTTCTAGCATATTGCAATTCTTTTGAATTGTTATGAAGTTTTAACTCATAAACACTTTTCGAGATTAGGATAGTACATTATGATTGCATTGTTGATAGTGTTGGCTGAATACTAGTTATCTTACCTGATGAAGAAGAAAAAATTGGATTCAATTCAAATTTACATCATTCTGCCAGTTCTAACTTCAATTATTAATAACTTACTATTGCAGATTTTCTTGGGCACAAAAGCGTCAAAATGTTTCTTTCCTCCCAGGTATGAAATTCTACCTTGTTATAACATCTATGATGACTTTTAGGGTGACGATAGGTAAACCTCTAAAGCTATTTCATTTGCATCTGTAACTTTTGCATAGAGATGCTCCACATCCACGGTGCATCTTACCTACAAGGTTTTCTGGGAAAAGGTTGATAATGTAAGTTTTCTGTTATGTTCTAGTGTCAGGGACAGATTAGTCTTTTTGCCCTTCTTTATTGTCACCCTAGTATCTGCCGCCCTTTCAATGTTGACAACTCCACTACTGTCTCTTTCTTCTTCCTTTATTCTCTTCTAAGGAACACTGAAAACATGGTATCAGAGCACTAGATCTGATCAAAAGGACTCTTTTCTACTGCACACTATTCTTGTTTTTCTTCTTCATACGTGGAGAAACAACAGAATACCTTGATCTGATCGAGGCATCTTTCTTTCTTTTTCACTTTATTCTGTCCTTGAACATAGAACCAGGGCAGATTCTTTCAGACCTATTCGTGGACCATGTGAACAGTCACTATGTGGAAGTTTTCTACTTTGTTCGTGATCTACAGGTGTACACCCTAGTGGAGTATTCCAGCAGTTCATGGGATGTTTGACTGACCTGTATTATGCATCTATTTTCTTCATCTTATGGTGTTGAATCAGATCTGTGTATACAGATCCATTTGGTCTATGTTCTAGTGCCCTTGACTGATTAACATGTATGGTATGCCCTTTTCGCTTTCTCTTGGTGGTTAATTTCTATTAGCTGTGTATGCTACATTCTAGGGTAAAGAAGTGAAAGTTCTTATCGGAAATAGTGACAGAAAGGTCCCAGCCAAGATGTTCACACTTTCTCTAGCCTTGACTAGATGCAGTTTGGTTGCTTTAGCAACAAAGGGTGTTGGTGTGGGGTTCCCAGGTGATCCGGTGTCACTTTTCACTCTTAGTAATGGTCTTTGGAATTCAATTCTTCGGTGTTAAGGATGAATCGTGAAAGTTCAACCACCTCCAATGTTACTAGAGCTTCCTTCAACAGTAACACTCCATTCATAAGTTCAGATAACATGTTTATGCCTATTTTTTCACTCCTCCAGGTGGTCTGAATTATCTAGAGTGGACTTAGAGTGTGAGACTTGTTGTAAGAAGTAGAGGCAAGACTGGGCCCCTGATGGAAGCATAACAGAACCAAAGGAAAAGGGACTGAATCATGACAAGTCAGACCAAGAGAATTGCATAGTGATGACTTGGCTGTTGTCCTTTATTCAGCCTTCTCTTAGGAAGAATTTCATGTGGGCTAAGACAGCTAAAGAAGTTTGGGACCAAGTGAAAGCCACCTACTCAAAGCAGAGGCACTATGCAAGAATATATCATCTACAAGTTGAATCGACTGCATGTAAACAAGGTAATAAAACCCCATTGGCCTACTACTCTACCTTTACATCCATGTGGAAAGAGTTGGATCATTATCAAACTATTAACTGGAGGAATGAGGGGGATGCTAAGGACTATAGGAAGCTTGTGTCTCAACAATGTGTGTTTACCCTCCTTGCTGGTTTGAATCAAGTGTATGAGCCCTTCAATTTTTTTTTTTTTTTTTGAAAAAGTAGGGTAAGATTTTATTTAAAGAAAATAACGAATTACAACAGATTCCTGGACAGAAGGTGCCCAGAACAAAATACAATTACAGACTCCAAATGACTGAGCTAAACAACTCAGCTACATTCATGTGCTTAAACTCAGCAGTAACCGACACCCAAGAGAACAGCTTGCTGACTAACTGCTGAACTAGCTCGTCTGGGATTTTTGACTTGTTAGAGAATACTCTATTGTTTCTTTCTGACCACAAGGACCATAGAATTGCTGCTGGAATTGTTTTCCAGACTAATCTTCCTTTTTTCCTCAGCCCTGCCAGATTCCAGCTAAAAAGGAGGTCTTTGACTGATCTCGCATGACCCAACAAACTCCAGCAGATTTTAAAAAATGCTCCCACACTCTAGAAGAAATTGGACAGTGTATACATAGATGATCTGTAGCCCACAAGCAAGGTTTGAGAGCTGCAGTCCCCTTCTTTCCAGACTGATTTTTGATAGGCACTTATTAAGCACCATAGTACACGCAAGAAAATTTGACTTAGAGGGAGAAACTGCATTCCAGATTTGTTTACAAGGAAAAATAACCGACCCCGAACTGCTAAGCTTTGATGATAAAGACGACTGAAAAATTACCATCCTTACTCCATTTCCATATCCACTTGTCTTCACTACACCTGTCAATATTTTGGCCCTGTAATAGATTCAGCAGATCCAGCATCTCATTTAGCTCCCTATCAAACAGATCTCTCCTAAACTGGGGAAGCCAGGTCACTGTACTGTTGGAAAACTCATATCAATCTGCCACAGAAGCTTCTTGGTCAACTGCACACTGAAAGAGCTGGGGAAAAGCCTCAGCCAAGTTACTGTTCAGGCATCATGGGTCTCTCCAAAATTTAACCCTGTCTCCTCTGCCCACTTTGATCTCCACACCTTCTAGGAAATTCGGTTGACTTTTTAGGATACCCTTCCACACTGAGCAGCCCCAACTGGAGAGATTGTCTTCTGGTTTCCGATTACTTGGAAGCCATTAAGTTTCTCCACCAGGAGGTTTTTTCAACAGCAAATCTCCAGCACCACTTGCTAAGCAAAGCAATATTCATCACCTTCAGCTTCCTAATTCCTAGACCCCCTTCCTTTCTAGGCAGGAAAACTTGGTTCCAGTTCACCAGGTGGATTTTCTTCTCTTCCTCCCAACCCCTCCATAGAAAGTTTCTCTACAGGCTTTCAATTTTTTTGTGCAACTTTGGCTGGAATAGGAAAGAGGGACAGGAAGTAGGTGGGGAGACTAGACAGAGTGCTTTTTATAAGGATCACTCTACCCTCAGCTGAAAGGTATTTAGCCTTCCAAGAAGAAAGTTTTCTCTCTAGCTTCTCAATGGCTGGATCCCAAATAGCAGAGGAGGAGCATTTTGCTCCGAGAGGAAGCCCCAAGTACTTCACAGGGAAGAAGTCCACTTGACAAGCCAAGACTCTTGCACGATCCTCCAAATTTAACACCTGCTGCCCAACTGGGATGGTTTTGCTTTTGTTCAGGTTAACTTTAAGGCCTGACACCACCTCAAACCAGCAAAGGATCCCAAGCAAGATTTCCAACTGATCAATTGAGGCATCAAGAAAGCAGAGAGTATCATCAGCAAATTGTAAAATGTTAAACTTTTTCTGCTTGAGGAGCAATTGCAAAGCCATCCCAAATCCCATTCTCAGCAGCCTTAAGGGAGAACTGAGAGAGAAGCTCCATAAGACAAATAAAGAGCAAGGGGGGGAGGAAATCTCCCTATCTTAGGCCTCTAGAGCTTTCGAAGTGTTGAAGATTAATTAGGTTTATGATGTTTTTCTGAATAGATGTTTTATGTTAGTTGTTAGATAGGACGTGGGGACCACAGTAGTTATGTGAGTCCAAATTTTATTATGTTTTTGAGTGTTATAAATGTTGTTTTATGTTTTGCCGCCCTATAAGGGCAAAATTGTCTTTGTACTGTTCTATTATTTTAGTATAAATAATAAGTGAAGGGGGCAGCCAGATTATTGCTCTCGTTTCTTTCCAACTTCTCTTCTCTTCTTCTCCTTCTCTCTTCCTTCTATCTTCAAGAAACTACTTTTCTTTTATATTTTTTAATTTAGCAGATTTCTACTCAAGGAATCCCACCAGCTGACCATTAATTAGGACTGATAACTTGGTGATGATACACATACTTTAATCCAATTTCTCCATTTCTGTCCAAAATTCATTTTTTCTAGCACTAGATCCAAACATCTCCAATTAACATGATCATAGGCCTTTTCTATGTCTAGTTTACACACTAGCCCCGGAACTCCCTCCCTTTGCCTTGAGTCAATGAGCTCATTGGCTACCAAAACTGAATCAAGCATTTGTCTCCCCGGGACAAACGCACTTTGATTGCTTGAAATCACACTACTCAGCACTAACTTCATTCTTTCGGCCAACACTTTTGCCAGAATTTTGTAGAAACTGTTTATAAGACTAATTGGTCTGAAGTCTCTAAGGTTATGGCCCCTTCAATTTTCGAGCAATAGGGTCACAAAAGTGGTATTAAGGGCTTCTTTGCAAGGAAGCATTGCAATGGAAATCCTGTAAGACTTTCAGAATATCTTGTTTAATCACATCCCAACATTTGATATAGAAAAGTTTAGTAAGACCATCAGGTCCGGGAGACTTCTCAACCTCCATTTTTTGGATTTTTGTTTTAATTTCCTCTTTAGTAAACGGTGTCTCAAGGAACATAGATTGATCAAGACTCAGCTGCTTAAAAGGCAAATTTGAAGGGAAAGGTCTTCTGGCCCAGTTTTCTTTGTAAAGGTTTTTATAGAAAGCCGTGGCTAGCATTTTTATTTCAGGTATTGATTCTCTCACTCTTCCATCCCAATCCAGTTTGCTTATTGAAGCAATCCTTCTCCGTGCATTAGCCAATTTGTGAAAAAGGTTTGTGCTTTTATCACACAACCTCAGTTAAGCCACTTTTGCTCTCTGCCTCCATTTGATTTCTTCTTTAGCTGCCAACCTATCAAAATCTGCCTTTGCTTGTATTCTTTTCTGTCTCAAGTCTGCTGAAATTGGACCTGCCTCTTCAGCCCTGTCAATTTCTTCAATAACCTTCAGCAAAGCTGTTTTCTCAGTTTCCATCCCAAGACTATTTTCAAGTTTCCAGATTTTGACCTTTTCCTTAATTGCTCTCATTTTCTTTGCGAATATATAGGAACTAGTACCTTCAGCCTGTAGATCTTCCCCCCATACTGAAGTCAACAAAGAAATGAAATTTTCTTCTTCAAACCAAGCATTCTCCAATTTGAAGGGAGTTTTCAATTTCTCCTGATCCCCACAAATGAGCTGTTTAGGAACATGGTCAGAAACAGGCCTGGGAATCTATCCAGGCTGCCTCAAATCCAGAAATAGCTCATCCCAGTTTG